TATACATACATACATACATACATACATACATACATACATACATACATACATACATACATACATACATACATACATACATACATACATACATACATACATACATACATACATATACATACATATACATATATGTATATATATACATATATATTATATATATATATATATATATTTAAAAATATTTGTACGATAGCAACTGCATCAGATCAAACTGGCAACGTCATCCCCAGTGTGAAACAAGGAGCCGCGCGCGTACTGTATTGTATACCCTCTATTTCCCATCCAGCCGGTTTTAACCATCTCGCGCATGTTTGCATCTACTAACGGGTGTCCAGTTCTGCCCTCTTTCCACATGGCTAACTTTTCCGCGCCCTCATCCCATTCGACGTTTGGTCTGGCGTGTGTTGTGCGCATACCAAAAAAATACGATTTTGAATAGGTCCAACTTCGGTTCTTCAGAATCACCATTTTGGTGGGCGATAGAATGCGTACTACGTTTGGTTTCTCAATTCCACTGCACAGACTAGAGTTCACGAGCAGACATAGGCAATTTAACGCGCTCAGTCGAGAACAAGATTTGGGTATAACGCTCCATTAGAATGGACCGGTGAACAGAATCTCTCCGAAACAGTTCACATGCCGTCAAATCCATGGAATCGTATATCCATATGTACAAAACTATAAATAACTACTCAACACTGATATACAACACACCTAGGGAACACCCCCTTGAGCATGAACGGCTTGGAACCGTGTTTCATAAAGTATAGGTGGAAGAAGTCTCTCCACAGCAGTTCAAATATCATCCAATACGTGCTCTTGTTCTTCACCCGCATTCTCTCGTACTTCTGACAGGCCACATGTATCTGCAGGGAGTGTTTAACACTTGTAAATGGGTTACCAGATTTATGTAGGCAGCATCAAGGATTTAATTTATAGTGAAAATCTACATGTGCATATAGAAAGATCGTACTCAACAGTAGTTCCATTCTCGCTAATCCCATATATATACCCATTCCGGATTGCACACGATTGCTGACATATGAAACAGTTTATAGCAGCCCGGACCGAACTAGCTGCTGTGACGCGCTCCCATCCAATTATTGCGATTTTGCTTGTAGTGATGGCTACACAAAGTATTTACAATTAAAGTAGTAATCTTCTGACGTGCATATATACCTAGAGCCAACCAAAGAATAAACTTCCCGCTATGATTCGCCTTAATCATATCAGAGTGGGTGCAGTTGGAGGCCTTCGATTAATAGCATACATGGACTAGGTGTCAACGTAGAGCACACTATATATACATAGAACACACAGTACATCCACAAGGAAAGCAGCACATAACTGGAATATACAAAACTTGTATAGGAAATCCATTACATACGTCAAACATGAAAATCACAATATAGTCATTTTACAGAAACAACCACAACATATACGAAAAGAATTATTATGTGCGTATTTATAGTTGTTGATGTATCATTTTAGGTTCACTATTTATCAGTGCACATTAAAACGGTATATACATTTAAAAACATTCACTGTGCAAACACAAAATACTCGGAATCCGTCGAAGACGATTGTTGATCATCCAGTACATCATACATACACCGAATGCACTAAACATATATATACTTCCAGCACATACCTGGCATATAGACATATTCTTCTAGCACATACTTGACATACACATATATATATATATATATATATATGTATATATATATATGTATTTTAGTACATATCAGACATAATTATACTCCTAGTACATACCTGATATATAAATTCTACCAATACATACCTGACCTATACGTATACTTCTAGCATATATCAGACATATACATAAACTCTGGCACATACCTGACATATGGATACTTCTAGCACATACTAGACATATATATATATATATTTCTAGGACATACCTGACGTGCGGATATGCAGCCCATGGCCAACCAAGGACTGAACTTGCTGCTGTAATTCGCCCCCATCAAACCATTGCGCGTATCGTAATAGTTCTTCAGACAATCTTGTCGGAATATGTAGTCCTCAATCCTATCTAACCCCGCTGTCTCGCCGCCCTCGAATCGCATCACCCCTATATGCATGAGCGTGTGTGTAGGTAACATGAGCGTGTGTGTAGGTAACATGAGCGTGTGTGTAGGTAACAAGAGTAGCGATGAACATAAGCTTTGGGCGCTGTTTCGGATACATAATTATAATACAACCCACATCCACTGCTCCGTGTATGTTTAGAAATAACCGAACTATAGCCACCCACACTCATGCACGATTAAGGCGGCAAGTCGTAAAAGCTCTCTAGCACTCGTAGAAAATACATAGCTACCCTAGTAAACGCTAAACCCTACCTTTCTCCAGAGCTATCTCGGGCATAACGAGGTCTATGCCTATGCTGTGGTTCTTATTTCGCGGTGGTTCACCGTCCACATTGGCTTTTGATTTGTACGTAGCCACTAAGTCGTTGAAAAGATCCTGAATCATAAAAGTAATCGCGAGTGTGAGAAGCAGATCTTTGCTGAGCAGACAGACGGTAGATTGGGAGCGTATCAGCAAAAGCCTGATGTACACACACAACGATTTATCAGCAGCAGATCTTCTGGGTCGTCTATGGCAATTGATATTGACAGACTCGATTGAGATTCATGAATCTGATAAAACAAAACACACAACAGATTGTCTATCGCGATATGAGAACCAGCCCAATGCGCGCATCGGCGTGTGCAAAGAACCAGTATGAGTTGCCCTCTGAACACAGCGCTACAGCAACCGCTTCAAACTCTCCCAACGAAGTAAGCATGACTATGTGTAGCTATGTATCTACATATACAGCCTCAATGACCGAGATATCAACACACGTTTTGTGATTGAACACATACATTCGCGCGTACATGCACCACATCCATGATGCGCAAACATCACTGACGTGAGGGTTCCAAACCCCTAAACCCCTACGGATATGATATTGGAATTTGCGGGCTGATTGAACCATTATGTATCACGAGCGAACAATAGAATACTACCCAAGTAGACATATATGCATATACCGTTTCAGAAGGTAATTCCTTTAAGCCAGCATCCCAGGCACTTGGCAGGGGCATAGCACCCACCTCAGGAGCATCCACCACTGACCTTGGCTGTACATCAGCCGATTCGACCTGCGATTGGCGCACACACATATTATACATATGATTAGAAGAAAAGACGAGAACGAAGTGTACACGCACACACTGTACACACGAATATAAGAAAGGGCGAGCTAGAAGTGTACACACACACACTATACATACGAATACAAAAAAAGGCGAGTATAAAATGTACACACCACTATTTATAAAAATACGAATATAAACATGGCCTTTCGAGCATACATAAAGCAAACAAATTCACTGACGTACGTGTATATGTGCACAATAAGAAAAGAGAACGACGCATATCACGACCCACTTATTCCCCTTCCCCCTAAAACAAATTAGGGCTATTGCGAACATCGTAGCTAACCTTAGATCTGTCAGTAGCTCTAAAAATTCGCAACTTGCTGAAAACACAAAGAACGAAAATCTATGTATACACACAACTTCACGAACGCATAAATGTTCGGTTCATTTGTGTACGTGAACTTGGGTAGTCACTAAATACGGTATTAGCTGCACCTAAGGGCAGGATCTCACATATAACAGCACACGACCAGATAGTAATCAGATGCGTGCGATCGAACCTACCTTTTTCCGCCACGACGTAAACATATCTGGCATGCTTCGCACGGGCATAGGGAGGTCCTGAGGGTCCAACATATTGTAAGAGTAATGCGAATATACTACGGTATCCTTAGCTAGCTTTTTCTTCAGCTTTCTCTCGATGCTCACCTCCTCTGGTGAAAAGACGGGATAGACAAGAATGAATATATATATAAATATATATATAGATAGATAGATAGATATACATACATACATATATATATATATATATATATATATATATATGCATATATACGTTAGTTAATTTAATTTAATTTTAATTTAATTTTAATTTAATTTAATTAATTAATT